TTTTAGTTGGTTTTGTGGTATGGACTCCGAAATCTGTGTGTTTGGAGGTCGGATCTGAGGATCCGTCCGTGTAAATTTTGACACCAATTTGGCCAATTTTCGTGTATGTATGCTAGTGTGGTAGTTTTAGCTATGTTTGGGTCGGTTTGTTTATTTATTAGGCTAGCTAGTGTTGTGTCTATTTTGGGTATTTTAAGTTTAGGGGTGAAGATATTTGATTGTTTGCAGTTTTGTTTAAGATTTTTAATTTGGTGTTCATTTAGGTAGTTTGTTATTCTTTGGGATATTGGGGTAAGTAAGGGGTGTTTACGAGCTAGAGCTTGGTTTTTGGGGCTGATGTTTTGGTTTATTAAGTTGTGGATGAGAGGGTTTGATTGGGACGCGGCCCAGAAATTTAAGCTTAGCTGTTCCCTGCGTAGACTTAGTGGAATTTCTCCTGTTAAGGCCTGAAGTGAGGTGTAGGAGGTGCCATGTTGGGTGCGTGTAATTAGTTTGAGAGCCTGATATTGTATTGAGTCAAGTTTTTTAGATAGAGAGTTGTTAAGGGTGTTGGATATGGCGCAGCCGTAGTCTAGTTTTGATCTAATTAGTGATATGTAGAGAGAGAGGAGGGTATCTTTGGAGGCTCCCCAGTTAGAGCCAGTTAGGCATCTTAGGGTGTTTAGGTCTTTACTGCATTTAGTTGTTAGGTTGTGATGGATAGTGCTGAACAACATAGGTATATATACTTATTAACATCAATGTTTATACAGTAAATTGATTGATGGGCACAGAGAGCTGATTAAGATGATTGGAAGCCAGTGATTGACTAATGGGACAGGGTAAACAACCGCTGAAGCAATTGGGATGATTGGGAGCCAGTGAATTGTCTAATGGGCACAGAGTCAGCAAGCAGACTGATAGAGATGATTGGAAGCCAGTGGATTAATTGGATGGACATAGGGGTGTAGCAATTAGGTGATGGTAAGCGGGCAGGATGTAGTAGCCTTGATCTCTTTTCATTGCTGGCTGGATCCTTTTGATGTAGATGGCTTCTGATGGCCAGGATCTTGATGTTGTTCCACCGGATGTTGTGGTCGGGGTGGATTTGGGTGTGGTCGGAGATGGCTGATTTTGAGTCATATTTTTGTACTAAGGTCTTGAGTTCTTTTATACTAATTGTAATAAGAAGTTGTTCATCCATAGAACTTGTCTTTCTTAATCATCCTCATGTCATCCGAATTCTTTCTCGGAACTAGAAATACTGGAGAATAAAATCCTTTTGTCTTGTTGGTCTCCAATACTTTCCGAATGGCTCACTTCTTTAGTAGCTTCCTGATGGCCAGATCTGCTGCCACTAGCTTGGCTCCGACTAGATGAAATCAGTGTCCCACAGCTTGAGATTTCAGGATGGGATGCTTCTTGAAATGCAGTTTGTATCCATGAGCCACAACATCTAGGACCCAGCAGTCAGCGTAATCTGCTTCCAAATTTCAGCATATGACAGAAGGCGTCCTCTCACTGGCCCCAGAGTCAGCATTATGTTTAAAGACGGTAGGTGTAAATCACAATCCATAGACATAACCAGGTTAAAAGGGTCTATAATGGCGGAGTGGGTGGCAAGGAAGTCAGAACCTGCGCTCACCTCTGCTCCCGGATCTGCCCTGGCAATAGAATCATCATTTCATTTAGTCGGCCTGACGAAAAGACCTCTGAGATGATTGACACTTGTCATATCTCCAACTTGTTTGAAATGAATCCTTCCCGGGGACAAACTTCTTCATAGGTGGCTGTTTACATGACGAGTCCTTCTGATCCCTGGAAAGCTTCTGGGATTAGGAAGATCCATGTACCTTGGTCGCTAGGCTGATAGTTGATACTTGAAATTGTTAAGTTGTATTTTGTCTGACCTGATCTATTACATGTCCCAATTTGCTGTTAAAAGTTTTGGGAGCAGATACTGTAAATCTTGAAATTAACACAAGTATCAATTAAATATCCAAAAATGTGAGCAGCCTTTGTTTGCATTATATCAACAAGAAGTCATTTTTTACAACAGAAATACCAACTTAGACATACGCTGAAAACAAACCAGGGGTCCGGAAATGGTCATATTCACCGGACATGTCCGATTAGGAATCTCAAATGTCCGGTTTAAAATATTGCTTACCGGATATATAAATTTTTCTGTCTGGACATTTAAATTTTTTTGTCCGGACATTCTTAAATTTTGACCGAACATGATCTACATTTGGTACTGAGCAGTTTCGGTCTGCAATTGTAACACAATAAAGATTATCTTCACTGACAAGCTTTGTTTGTTTTGATTGCTGTAAATACATCGTACCTAGATGATAGTTCAAGCGGTCAATCACTGTAATAGGTATTAAACTGAGATCAGTCGAGCGGATCTGCCAAACCCTCAAAGTCTGGATGATCATTTTGTAAGTCGTGGTTAACGAATTTCACTTGGTTAACATACAATGAGGATCTGCAGATGATGTTCTGCCAGGTAAAAGGAATTTTATTGTTTTCAGTAGCTAGTCGTATATTGAATCTTGACCGTCTTGTTTTCTGTAACGATCAATATTTTTTTTATTGTCAATTATTAAGTACAGATGAAAAAGATATTCAAATAACAATTGCTATCAATGATATTTTAGTATTTGTGGTTATATTATCTGTCTTGTTTTTAAAAAATCTTTAGTTTAAAAAAAATATTTTCCCATGAGGTCACGTGATAACCAAATATGGGATATAGCCTCAATCCAAATGTAACAACGCATACACTTGAGCAGATACAACTCATGAATATTAATTAGAAGACTGACTGTTCACTACATGAACAAATCGATATTATAACAGAAATAAACATATGTTTTCCATGTTATTTTAAAAGGCGGACCAAGACTGAACGACTTTGACCCTAGACCGACGCTACGACGATGGAAGGGCAGGCGAAACAGGCAGATAGATGATATGGGAAAAGTTGTAAATATGGCCTTGTTATTTGATATTAATATTTATATTTACGTATGTAAATAAAACAACATGAATATCAGTGTTTATTTTGTTCATTTCATCATATTATGAATACATAGCAACTTGTAATGTGCGTTAAAAGTCGTACTAAAATATGCTATTTGAAGGGGGCATCGCATAAATGCAAATGTCCGATTGGGATTTTAAATTTTCCGGACCCCTGAAACAAACAACTATGTATTTCATGTCACTGTTTATTGAGCAGCACTTGTATATAACAACAAGTATATTAACAATGTCATTCAAACACTAATTACATTCTGGGAATTGTCACTGCTGGGGTCAAGACACGAGTTCTACTCACTTCACTGATCACACCTGCAAGTCCAGACAGACGCTACCCACACAACACAGTGTCTTTGTTCTTTGCGACTGCATCAAAGGCCGACACGAGCCAGCACGCATGTATTGTTTTAGCGGAAGTACTCTACTCAGCGCTAATAAGCTATTTGGTGTGTGATTTGATTAATGTAAGGTTTGATTAAGGTGAGGATTTAAGGACAGAGGACATAAAGAGGATATAGATTTTCAGACGCCTGATCTATCACCTTGCCTGCATAACTCAGCGACAGCAATGTCTGGTGGATGTGTTGAGATAATGTAGGAGCATGACATCCTCCGTATTCCGGCATCTTAGGTGGTGAATTTTCTGTCATTGGAGGTTGGAAATATAGGCTTAAGATGATATTACTCCTCAATGAGTTCCACAAAGGTGTATCCCCCTGTAAAATCACGCTGAGGTGAATCGTCAGACTGATTAACCTCCTCATATAGGTCCGATTCTAACTCAGTTAGCTCCCGGGAGGGATGAATGTTCGTCATAATCCTTACACTCAATATGTTCCCCGTGCGGTTCATCATCAGCTGGTGTCCAGGAATCTGCTTTGAGTAAGGTCTGTGCAGCTTGTGATGACTGCCTGTGTATAACGGAGCCCGGCTGGGTAACCACGGTGACCGTACAGTGTCTTAGCTGGGGAGTGTGGCCTTGCTGTACCCTGACGGGACCCAAGCAGAGATCTAGATGCTCATGTATCACGGGAGGGTAAAGCTTGAGAGCTTCTACCCGGCTGGTTGCTATGGTCAGCTGGCTACCAGGCTGGTCGGTACAGTCGGCTTGGGTAGGCCCTATGGCTGTCCCTCCTGCGGGCTCTTGGCTGGAGGACTCTTCTAAGCCAATACTGTCTGCTTCTCAAGCATCTCCATATCTTGAGCTATAGCTGAGAAGCGTGACTCAAACATTGACTCCATCATCTCTTTTTGTTGTTGGAAGAGTACTTCTTTCAAGTCCATAGAAACACAGGAGATGATTCATTCGCCGGAGTAGGTGGTAGGCGCTAGGATGGAGGCAGAGGCTAAGTCAGTGTTAGTAGCCGCAATGACGTTGACTTTCTTCTTAGCTGCTTTTCGTCGTCTAGCTTTAGTCAAAGTTTCAGCTAGCATGGTGAAGGCTTTCTTAGATAGAGTTGAGCACTGGTCGCATCTTGCCTCATTTGTGCATTTTGCCTCTCTGCACCTCCCGCAGTTGTTATGAGGATCTCCCGTGATCATAAAATGAGTAGTGCGAGACTCCATTATGACCTCACAAACATCTCACACCAGCTTTATACTTACGTGAGTAAGATTGTCACTACAATTAGCAGCTATTTATATTTACTTAATGTGTCTGTTTTACATAACTATTTGAACAATCTTAGACTAATGTGACTCTACCAAGTGCTAGATTGTTACAACTATAACAATAGGTGTTGACTCTAGCACACACAAGAAAGAAGTGAGGTTTCCTGCCATTACGCACGTCATAGCTTGGGTTGCTATAGGGCTATATTGGGAACAACTAATTGTGTGTGATTGACAGTGAAGAGGATGTCTGTTGAAAATCTGAAAATTTTCGTTAGTGTGACTGAAGCCAAAAATACAGGATTTATGGCAAAGATGTAATAGAGGCAGATGATTCGCAAAAAATAACTAGGATATGTTACCTCATTTCCTGTGCCTCCTTCTCAGCCTGTTGTAAAGCCTTGACTTGAGCTTCTTCATCCAGTAATTGCTGTATAGGTTTATCATTTGCATGATCTCCCATTACCCATACCCATTCTTGTCCATCTTGACCCTGCAAAAACTCCACCTTTTTTCTACCTACAGAAACAGAAGAGGAGACACATCACATATTGTACTTGTAACTTTTTTGAGAGGTTGTGCTGTTAAAAAACAAACAAGAAATTTGTCAGCACTGGAACCAGTCATGAGCTGGACTAAGGGGCGTATGGAACATTACTTCAATGATTTTGCGATGGTAACAAAATATGGAAATACACTGTAATGAGAACATAGGCAATGAGGATCTGAAGGCACTTCGCCAATTCTTGGGTGACATATTTTCTTGTCAATAACATTAAACTGGAAATGACACAATTTTGAGGGCCAAAATCATAGGATAGTAAATTCCGTGGCATTAACCCTAAGCGACAGCACAATGACAATTATAGCATTATATAAACTGGCAAAAATCAGTTACAGCACAAAAACAAGCATTACACAGCTACATTAAAGCTCCACATTCAGCACTAGCTGTGAAATATTTACACCTGGACAAAAATATTGCAACATCCCCTATTTTTCATAGTACATGTACTACAATATTACCACCCACTGTATTAAATGTGCTTATTCAAACATCAAGTTATGGCAACATCTGCAGCAGTCAAACTGCATGGAGTAAATGAAAGACAAAGACAAACTCAGAAAAGCTTTTAACATACATTTATGTGAATTGCAATACAAGGCAGTAAAATGACACATATATAATCACATGCTGACCAGTATGGCCGTGTGAGGTTTACATTTTAGTACTGTTACAATCATGGTTCTGATATCCAATCCTCAACAAATGACACAAGTTTCAATACCAGAACACAATGTCAGTATCAGGAGTAATCCCTGCAGACCAGGATAACATCATGAAACCCTCAGCCTCATTGACTGTATAAGACATTGAATTTGAGGCCAAGGTAATCTGTTGGCTTTGTCCAATTTGCCAAGACTTTGCACTGGGGGATTCCTCTGATGCCCTTTGTGACCGATAATGTCCCAAACATGCTCAATGGGATTAAGATCAGTCCAGGGAAGCTTTGATAATGCCTCCCCTTGTGCAAGGTGTGGCCTAGCATTGTCTTCCATGAAGACTGGCCTTCTCAAGAAAGGGTGGTGAACAAAATGTGTGCAACAACACTGTCTAAGATGATGTCTGTAGTCTATTCAGATTTTGTCTTTGAGAGAATGTAGGAGCATGGTCAAAGTGTAAAGATCAAATGTACTACTACTACTACTACTACTACTACTACTACTACTACTACTACTACTACTACCAAAAATATCATTACATTTTGAACAAAAATTGGCTAAGTAATAGACAAAACAAGTTTCAAGTTTCATTATGGTTGAAGTGAAAAGGGGCAATTTACAATATTGCAAAAACTCGGAAACATGAGTGTTGAGCACTACTGCTGACTACACATGTTCCAAATTTGTTTACCTTTTGAAAAAAATTGACTGAGTAATGTCTATAAATCAAACAACAGTTATCACTGTGTATAATTCTAAGAATACTACCTCTATTACATCATAGCCATAATTCAAGTTCATGCTGACAATGATACCATAAATTTTCAAAAGACATCCTTTTCACTGCCAACATATCTAATAATTGTGAGGAAAACCCTATCCTCCACAGGTAGTGTAACAGTGCATGGGTGAGGCGGGAAACCATCACTTCTGTCAACTCCAAACCATTCTCTACTAGATACAGATATTTGGACAAATGATAAATTTTGTTTGATAATTCCTTTCACTATCCAACCTCAATTATATATCCTAGCCAGTATACACCAGACTATGCATCTCGTATCCCTAGACAGTTGGCATTTGTAAACTAGGAAGACATATATACATTTATACATATTGGGATTAACGGAACTGATGTGCCTCATATTTAGTTCTTCTAGAACCTTCTAGATTACGCATTTATGATGTCAACTTACTTTCTTATGGCGTCAGTTTGTAGCCTTTATTGTGGTATTTAAGACATATGTCACTACTGGTTCTGAGGTCACTTTCTAAGGTCACTATACTGATGATGATTTTTATGATGTCACTTCCTGTTCTCATGTTACTTCCTGACACACTTCTCGTTCAAATGACTTCTATGACATCACTTCTGGTGCAGAGACCAGTTTTGACATCACTTGTATTACCACTTCTAGGCTATATTACCTGACTTATTTATCGATAACGTCACTTCCGTTTTGCCTTTGGATTGTGATATTGAATGTATATTTTGACATTAATCCAGTATTGAGGTCTCCTATGATGTCACTTCAGGTAGTAGTACAATGATACATCCTAGGCAATCATGTATCCCTTCGATCTAGGATTCCAGCATTAGCCAGTGATCAGTTCATTCACTTAGCAGATGGCCAACTTACCTTCAGTTCAGAGGTATTTCTGGAATCTTCGCTTCCCCCAGGTTCCCAAAAGAAGAAGGGTGGCAGGGCTACTTGGAGTTTATAACCTGAGCAGCCACCACAGGACCCTGTCACATACCTTGTAGTCAGGTACCCCTTTCTGATCAAACACCCCGTCACAAACGTTATGAACCTTAGGGTAAGGTACCCCTTTCCGATCAAACACCCCGTTATGAACCTTAGGGTAAAGTACCCCTTTCTGATCAAACACCCCATTATGAACCTTAGGGTAAGGTACCCCTTTCCGAACAAACACCCTGTCACTAACCTTAGGGTAAGGTAGCCCTTTCTGATCAAACATCCTGTCACTAACCTTAGGGTAAGGTACCCCTTTCCATTCAAACACCCCGTTATGAACCTTAGGGTAAGGTACCCCTTTCTGATCAAACACCCTGTTATGAACCTTAGGGAAAGGTAGCCCTTTCTGATCAAACATCCTGTCACTAACCTTAGGGTAAGGTAGCCCTTTCCATTCAAACACCCCGTTATGAACCTTAGGATAAGGTACCCCTTTCTGATCAAACACCCTGTTATGAACCTTAGGGAAAGGTACCCCTTTCTGATCAAAAGCCCTGTCACAAACCTTGGAGTCAGGTACCCCTTTCTCATCAATCGCCCTGTCACATACCTTGTAGTCAGGTACCCCTTTCTCATCAATCGCCCTGTCACATACCTTGTAGTCAGGTACCCCTTTCTCATCAAACGCCCTGTCACAAACCTTGTAGTCAGGTACACCTTTCTGATCAAACACCCCGTTATGAACGTTATGAACCTTAGGGTAAGGTACCCCTTTCCGAACAAACACCCTCTCACTAACCTTAGGGTAAGGTAGCCCTTTCTGATCAAACACCCCTTTATGAACCTTGGATAAGGTAGCCCTTTCCATTCAAACACCCCGTTATGAACCTTAGGGTAAGGTACCCCTTTCCGATCAAACACCATCTTTTGAACCTTAGGGAAAGGTACCCCTTTCCTATCAAACACCCCATTATGAACCTTAGGGTAAGGAACCCCTTTCCGATCAAACACCCCATTATGAACCTTAGGGTAAGGTACCCCTTTCCGATCAAACACCCTGTCACTAACCTTAGGGTAAGGTAGCCCTTTCTGATCAAACACCCTGTCACTAACCTTAGGGTAAGGTACCCCTTTCCGATCAAACACCCCGTCACTAACCTTAGGGTAAGGTACCCCATTCCGATCAAACACCCTGTTATGAACCTTAGGGTAAGGTACCCCTTTCCGATCAAACACCCTGTTATGAACCTTAGGGTAAGGTACCCCTTTCCGATCAAACACCCTGTTATGAACCTTAGGGTAAGGTACCCCTTTCCGATCAAACAACCCGCTATGAACCTTAGGGTAATGTTACCTTTCCGATCAAACACTCTGTCACTAACCTTAGGGTAAGGTAGCCCTTTCTGATCAAACACCCCGTCACTAACCTTATGATAAAGTAACCTTTCTGATCAAACGCCCCATCACTAACCTTAGGGTAAGGCACCCTTTTACAAACTTTTGGGTTAGTGGTGAGTAAGGGTATGAGTTAGCTATCACATCTCTTTTCAAGAACCCATGCAATGTAATTTGAGGACAATTTATACAATATGTATCAAGTTTTGAGTTTCCTAGAGTAATGGCTACTGGATATATGCATCAAGGTAAAAACAATTGGTGCTGATCAATTGGTAAGCTATCACTAAACATTTGTGATAGCAATCATGGTCCCATGGTGAAGTGTTGGCTTATTAGATTGACTGACATAAGCCTAGATTAGCTTCGAACTGGCAACATGATTTGGATGGAACCTCTTTCATGTCAACTATTATTTTGGCATCTGGTTTTTCACAATTAATTTCTATTAAATCACAAACACGCGACAAAAGTTGAAACACTGTCACTGTATTTTCTGGTAAATGTACGTGAAAGAGGTTGTAATTGTTGTCCTAAGTTAATGACTTCAATTCGGCAATCTCCCTTTGTAATGAAACACTGCCACTGTATTTTGTGGCACTAGCAGAATTTATCTGAGCAAAATCCTGTGAATTGTCTCTCTGTAGTGGCACATCACCGCCTTATCTTGACTGACTGGAGCTGGTTGAGAGATTGTAGCGGTGGTGATGGTGCTGTTGGTGCCTGTCATCACCTTCAGTTTTTCATTGTAGAGCTGCATTAATGTCCGTCTGGACCAGGAAGTGGGCACATTGACACCCATGTCTGTCAGACGTTGTTGAATATCAGCTGCTGTCAAATATATAGAGTTTCTGTTTACATTCCTGTGAGAGGAAGCTGGGCTAGACGCTTCACCATGATCGTCACCATTGTTGTTTTCATGCAGGTCAGAGGTCGTATCCTGGTTAACCCTTCGTGTTGATTGAGATCTGGCTTTAGATCGTTGTCTGTCAGCCATTGTTACGATAAATACAAACAGTTATACCGCATAACACGACAGGATGGCAAAGGATTGTTGTAGATTTCCTTGGATGACGGTGATTCATAATGAGAGCTGAGAGAACAATGGAAACAAGCTGAACGACATTGCTTACTTAAATTAGGAATTTAACGTGCGCTTTCCGACATATGCGTATTTCGCGCACGGCCCGTCAGGCCATTTGG